GAAAATTTTTATTTTCTTCTTCAGGGCTATATAAAAAGAATAATATTTATACAAATAAATATTAAAAGGAAGGCTTACTTACTGCTATGTGTTTTAAATTGAAAAAATATCATTTACAAGAAAATTTGGCATACTTTTTAAATAAATTGTTACAATCTGACTTTTTTAGTATTACTTTCAGGTATGAGTATGATCTGAAATTTACAAATAACAATGGTTCAAGAAATGGTGGAAATGTTTTTTTAAGAAAATTTCAACATTATTCTAAAGACAAGTTGGTTTATATTTTGATAAATTTATAAAAGTGATATATTTTGACTATAAGTGAAGTTATTATTATTTATAGGTTTCATTGTTAGAATATTTGAATAGATAATGCTTAAATCATCTATGTCTGGTCTTTTATTCATAGAATTGTTATTTAAAAAGATTTCAACCATCTCTAAAAACAATCTTTTATTATAATTTTGTTCCCTATGTAATATTTTGGTTTCATTATAATTAAAACTATGATCTAATTCATTGAAATGTGTAGATAATATAGAAGTATTTTTTCCTAATCTACAATCACTTTTGTGAGAAGTGATTCTATCTTTTAAAACTCTGGATGTTTGACCTATATAACAATTTTCACATTGGTAAAGTAATACTAAAAAAGTCAGATTGTAACAATTTATTTAAAAAGTATGCCAAATTTTCTTGTAAATGATATTTTTTCAATTTAAAACACATAGCAGTAAGTAAGCCTTCCTTTTAATATTTATTTGTATAAATATTATTCTTTTTATATAGCCCTGAAGAAGAAAATAAAAATTTTCGAAAGCTCGGCGTAGCTAAAAAGTTTTAGAACTTTTATTTAGACCCAGACTGATACCCCAGAAAATATCTTCCATTTATAAGTTGCCAGTCACGAATACCTACACTATTTATATATATATGTATATATATTCGGAATCAGGAAGAAAAGATCTCTCATTTTATCGCAAAATATACAGGGTGTTCCATTAAAAAAAGTCGAAGTTATCTACGTTTCTCCATTTTTCGATGCGATTTTGTTTTTTCTGATAACATTAAAAGAAAATATAGAAAAAAAATGTCAAGTTTTGTATTTAAAATTTTTTTCTATCTTAAATAGTAAAGGCTGTAGGTATGGGTCCAAATATAATCAAATACCCTGTACGTTTGATCAAAGATGTTCAAGATTATTCATAACAGTTGTGGGGAATTTTTTGAATAAACAGTCAGTAAACACAAAATGTGGCCAGAATGACTTACCTATTTATTATTATTATACTTTGGTCTTCTCTTTGCCAAAAAACTAAAACACATCTGTGAATATTATTTTAGTTCCTGGTACAGGGTCTGTTACTTATAATGAGTGCGGCTCCTACAACTTAAACAAAAGAAAATACAAAAAAAAGTTAAATACAGAAGTTGTAGGGTTTTATCTCTATTATCTTTCGAACATGTTAAAATGGGCAAATGACACGTGCCAACTGTCATAATGACAGGACTTGCATTTTTTTGAATGGAACATCCTGTATATTTTTAGCTAGGATGATAGATTTTTTTCTTCTGATTTCAAATATACCATATATGTTGATATTTGGTTCAGCTGTTTTTACAGTATTCAAGTTTAAAAATGCATTTACATAACCCTAAATTAGGTCTGTTCCCGGTTTCCAATATCAATGATGAGGCTTGCTCAATGCAATTTTAAAATTAAACAGCGCAAAAACCGCTGAACCAAATATCAACATTATATGGTACCTATATTTGGAATCAGAAGAAAAACATCTATCATTCTAGCCAAAAATATACAGGGCGCTCTATTTAAAAAAATGCAAGTGCTGTCATTATGACAGTTGGCACCTGACATTTGCCCATTTTGACATGTGCAAAACATAATAGAGATAAAACCCTACAACTTTTGTATTTAACTTTTTTTGTATTTTCTTTTGTTTAAGTTGCAGGAGCCGCATTAATTATGAGGAACTGAGGAGCAGACCCTGTACATACAAATTTTTTGTGAGGACTATTATTTTTTTTTTTTTAAAGAAGCAGTATATTAAAATAAATAATAACAAGAATGTAAGTACATACCTGCTGCCGCCATCTTCTTTGATTTTTTGATTCCAAGTTACATAACCGTTTAATTACAGTACTGAAAATTTTCCCCATTGAAATTTTCTCGGCCGTGGCAACAAATTTTCGAGTGACGATCAAAATCTACTGAAGCCCAGCTCTATCCGCGCTTTATTGCCTCCTCTCCACCAGATGCCTATCGTCTATTGGTCGAGATAATCCAACTCCCTGCAAGCAGAAGCGCAGAAGCCCAGATTCCTCTCTAGGTTTGGGCATATGTTGTTTTATATCCTATCATATAAAATTTTTCACATTATCGATTGTTTACATTAATGAAAGTCTCTTTTTTTCTGTTAAAACTAAACAAAAATGCAAACATAAGATTATTATTTATCGGAAAGTTTGACAAAAGTACACTAAACGCTAACTATAGGTCTGTTCTCACAGAAATAACAAAACAAGTAAGAGCGAATTTCATTGGAATCATTGGTTGAAAATAGTCAGAAAACTGCTTGCTAGCGATTTGTACCAATCAAAAACACTCTGACTGATTTGTGATTTTTGTGAAAATATCTTCAATATCAAATACATTTTTTGTGCCCACTGCAAAGATGGGAAGTGAAGAATTTTTGTTAAGTTGTTTTTCCAAGGAATTGTATAAAATATCCTGCGAGTACTTTACAAATCTAAAATCTAATAGATCATCAAGTGAAAAAGAAAAGTTGCACAACCACTATCACGTGATTGCTGGAAAATTCTCGTTCAGACACGCTAAAAAACAGCAACCCAATCAAATTAAACTTTCAATTCGCCAAAGTAATCCATTTGAAACATATTGATCTTAATATTGACCAATTATTGTTCATATTATCGAGCGGCTTATTGCTGTTCACGTTATAAAAGTACCCAATATGCGCAGTATTGTGTTCACAAAACCGCGTTGTTCACTTATACGAATGTTCATATTATAGAGCATGTACTGTACCTATATATTTTTAATAATTCAATGATATTAGGAATATTCTGATGCTCCCCTACAGTTTCTACGCATGTATCGGGATGCCTTGGGGGAGCTTCGTTAAGCTGCCACCTCCCTCCTCTTTATTACAACTAGCACACCCATAGTATAGCAAAAAATTTAAATACGGAGGTGGGCAGGGGGTGGTTAACGCTAGCCCCCCTGGCGCCAAAATGCTGGCACATATAGCTAGCACAAACTAGCACACCATTTTTTAGAGCTATCATATTTATAGTTTAGCAAAAATATGCTTGCAAATCTTAAACGGAGCGAGAAAACAAATAAGTCAAAGTCTCAAAAATAATCAGTTGGGGTAACACGTATTTCGCCTTACTAAAGGCATCATCAAACCTAAACGCGTCAAAGCTAAAAGGCAAAATCTGCACAAGCAGAGTGTAAAATGAACATCATATAACATATATAAACAAACACTGTTCCTAACATTGGTCAATATAGATGACCTATCTCAAATGTAAACACTGAAAGTAAAATTGTCATTGTCATATCATTCAAGGCTTTTAGAGCACCATGGACTATTTCTTTCTGGTTACTTATGCAAGCCCCAAGCGGCTGGAATTTTTCTGCCAAAATGCTCGCACATGCACATAAAATACTTAGCACACCAACTTTTATAGCAAACTAAAGCCATATTTAGCTAAAAATTACTTGGATGAATGAAAGAATGAATAGGTATAAAAATTCAAAATGGCGACTCTAAGAAAATATTGAGTTGCTCATAGTTTTATTAAAAAAAAAAAAAAAAAACAATAGGTTCTTTAGAAAATTTTAAACATTATGACATTATCAAAAGATTCCTCTTACAATGTGTTCCTATACAACGTGTCCAAGATAAGGATGAGGGCCAGTATGGGGATCTGATGATATGGTCGCCCAAAGACGAAACGTCGGACTAAAAATTTGATAATGCCATATTGTAAGGAGGAAAAGTGGCAATGAAGAAGTGCCATTTATTTTGAAATATCTCTTCAACTAAGGCCAGGAAAAAATAAAATCCTTCTGGTCGAATTTCGGGTTTTCCCGGATATCTCCTGTATCACTGGGAATTTTTAAAATATCAGAGCGGTATTTTAATGAGCTCAAAATTGCCCAACTTTTTCCTCATTTAAGCAGCCTCGTATTTTTCACTGTTTCCGAGATCCCCATACTGGCCCTCCTTATCTTGGACATATTGTATAATGCCAAATCAATAGTTTTTGAGATATGAACAGTAATTAAATTCGGCGATAATCCAGTTATTTTCAATTATCCTTAAAACAAATATTTTTTATTAAAATTTAAAAGCAGATTTTGAATCAGCAATTGACACTCCTATTTCTTACAATAACCAATGTTATGGTTCATAGGGATAATGGACTGGTGAGAATCTAAATAGGGACACACGTTATAGAGAGTGGTCCATTTAACTTAAGACAGTTCAATATCTTGAAACGGCGCGTTTTTGGACAATAAAGTTCGAATTAATAAAAGTTATATGGTGTCATGAGGGCTATAAAATGGTAGCAATCTAAGGGTAGCACCGATTTTTGACTTTGAAAACTTTTTTTTGAACTTTTTTTTTCTCAAAAATGCGCCGTTCCCGTGATACTTGTCTCAAGTTAAATGGACCACCCTGTATAGTTACTGTATAAATATCCAAAAAATAAATACATCGACCATAATAATTATCATCTGAATTCGCCTCCTCTAAAGTTATGTGGAAAATGGAAAATTTCTGCAAACTCCTTTTTGCACAATAGCAGAAAAAGACCCATGAAGTGCCTCACAGGGACTTTTCGAATATCGAAAATATAATTTACTGTCAGCCATTAAATACTTGTTTGCTTATTGTTTATTGAAATTTTATGTGTATTACGATTTATCATTATTTATTATTTCATCAATAATACAATTTTTTCTTAAATAGAGTTTTTACTTGACGTTCTGGCGCATACTTCAGCAATCTTTCTTTAACAAAATTGTAGAAATCTATTTCATTTACTAGAGATTCTTCGAGAGCATTGTAAATTTCTTTTGGAATTTCCAGTTCCTTTTTATGCCTATAAATATCTAAAACGGAAAAAGGGGAAAAACTATAATTTATGGTGCCCCATCATTTTTTTTTTATAAATTAGATCAATGTGAATGATCAATACAGTTTCAGAAGTGAATACCTATACTTACCTAATAAATTTTCCTGGTAAACTGTTTTAGCATCAGAGAAAAATTGTGGAATATGTGCTGCAAGTACATCCAGGGTCTTGTTAAGTTCTTCAAGTACACCGACCACTTGGTAATATTTCTCCACATTCTCTTTTGCTATTCCAAGAGCCCAATTATTGTTCAACAACCTGAAATTGTAATTTGCTTTCAATTTTAGTTATTTTTGACCTAATAAGGTTTTCTCACTTACATACATTTAGGATCGTGACCACAAAAATAAGGGATAGTTAGGTCGTAGGGGCGTCCGTTTCTAAATTTACAGTTTCCTTTGATGTCCAATAAACATTTCAAAAAATATTTATCATAAGTTCCGGTCTTCTTTGAAATTGCTCTGAAACAAAATTTGCATTAAATATTTCTTCATACCGTGTTGTAGGCTTATATAGTTTATTGAACCATTACCAACTTTTGCATTCCTTCAACGTACCTGGCCATTACTTTCGTAACTGGATGTCTAATAAGATTGATGTAGGTGGGTAATTGCTTGTCGAAGAAAGTAAAATTTAAAAAATATAAATTTCGGTCAAAACTTAATGGTATTGGTAGGTTTCTTCTTATTTCGTAGATTTTATCAACCATGCTCGCCTAAAATGAGAAAAAGAAAATGCAAAAAATTTGTAATAAGTATAGGTAGTTTGAAACAAATAATTTTATTCTAGGAACTATTCCTAAGTTTGTTACTAAACATTGATTATTTGAATAATTGGCGCTTTACTTTAATTCATAAATTTTTAACAAGCTCGCAAACTTACCTGTTGCATCTTATTCAACTTCCTCCTGTTCCCACCTTTAAGTCTGACATGCTTAAAATCATTAACACCCTGTATTTTTTCTAAGAGAAAAATCAAAATTTCCGAACCACTATCAGGAACAGAATTAAGGAACAAAAAATGTTTATTTACTTCATCCATTTTTCCCAGCTGGGCCATCGATTTGGTGACATGTTTTCTTATTGGCAATATTGAAGCTGTAGTTGAACTATGAGTGATATTGTTATTGTAATTATTGGTGATAGTTACGCTTAATGAAGATTTTTCTAGAAAATTGTCCACACTCATAATTTTCTTATTGTAATTATTAGTAAATTTAATATTTTTATAAGCAACGGGTCCACTCAGCAAAATGGTAATAAATATTGTCAAAAACCACTGCAACTTCAAACGTCTACGCCGAATCATTATGAAACAATAAATTAAATAATAATTTGTTTATTTTGATCGCGCCGCCACACCGAAATCGACGTAATGTTAGTGGGTCAGACTTCTTGGAACATACTGTGCACAGTTGTTAGTCTTCGTTTCAAATTGCATCTACCAAAAGGTGAAAGGTAAATAAAATTTCGCTTTAAACCATAGGATAGGATAACATATAGCCACTTTCGATTTTCAATTAATTGGCAATTTTATCTATGAAGCCATCAACGTGACATCTGAAGGAAAAAGCAAGTAATTGTACATTGTAAAAATTTCTTGAGGTATTTTATTAATTTTTTGAGGATTAAAGTAAACAAGCATTTACTTGATTCTAGATCTCTCAATTGGATGTTTTTTTTTGAATAGAGCGCGTAGTTTGTGAGTTAGAAGTCACTTTAAATGAGGAAAATGAGATAATTAATTGTAATATTTTATTGTTAGAAAAGAGAGTAGGTAACTACTTTTTACCTAATTAAATTTGAAACTTTGTCTCAAATTTTGGAAAAGCTTAAAAGTCGTTTTTCTCAAAAACGAAGCCCTTTAGGCTCGGACTCTCAATTAACCATTTTTGAAGCTCCAATTGAGAGCTACAATTAAAACAAATTTCGTGCCGATAGCTTCTGCGGTTTCAGAAATATGGCCCTTTGAAATATTTGAAAATCGAATTTCCATGCATATGTACCCCTCTGGTAAAATTCCAATTTTTAAATTTTTGGTTTTTCAAAATTAGTGGAGGAGTGTTTTTGCAATTTATTTTTTCGAAGTTTTGGGGCTTGCAAAAAATTTAAAAAACTTTGCGGAGTATTGAGGCGATTTCGCCCCAAATATTCGTCTGCTGTTTGGTAGGCGAATGGTTAACCAATTGGTACGTAAGTGACGTAGCTCAGCAATCTCATCCGAATTCAGTGGATAGGGCGTTTGGTACATTTTGACTTTGACATGTTTATTTGAACATGAGAAAAAAAGAAACAGAAAGCTACCAAACCTGCACTACCCAGTCAAACCGCGGTATAGTACCTGACAGACCAAAGGGCCTACCAAAGTTGTTGTGACAGCATCGTTCACCCATCCGAAATTGAATGGTAGATACCAAACTGAGGCGAAATCGCCTTTGGTCTTTTTTTGATATTGCCTCACAAAATCGCCCATAACTTTCTTAATATATCAGAAATTTCAATATAAATTATATTTTTATAATCAGAATTAAATGCTCATTGAGATTAAACAAGGTTTAAATTTATAGCTCAAATAGCTTTTGAGGTATTGAGGCTCGAAGTTGAAACTTTGTCTCACATTTTGGAAAAGCTTAAAAGCCGTTTTTCTCGAAAACAAAGCCCTTGGGCTTGGAGTCCTAAGTAACCTTTTTTGTAGCCCTAATCGAGAACTACAAGTTGGGAGTTTTTCTGATTTCCAAAATTAACATTTTCTTGCATATGCCCAATCGATGTGCCTTAGAGACAAAGAAGAGGCAACAAAATTTTAAATTTATATAAAATTCAGGTATTTTAGGTAAACATTACATATAAACAGTCATAAACTTTTATTATTCAATTCTGGGATTTACTCGTGGAACTTCTACAAATTCGTGAATCCATAGTTTACGATGATCTGTAACATTATGTTTATAGAATCATAAAAATAACAATTCTAAGATTTCTGTGAACATCCAATTTACATTGTCATAATTGACTGTAAGACACATATCGATTAGATCGGAAATATTTAGGATTCTATAAGATTTTCTGTCAGCTGTCAGCTACAGAAAGCGCAAGATATCTATATGTTTATTGTTTATAGAAAGTTATAGATTTGCTTACAGATGGGCACAGAATTGACCTATTAGTTTACATAATACAGGGTGTCCCACTAAGGTCGACCAGGTACGAAATTTTTTTGCTCTTTAAGCAACGCAATAAAAAAATAATATCCTGCTATTTGGATTTTTCAAGAGAATTAGAAAAAACTGGATCTTGGTTAAACAGCGCCCTCTAGAATACGCGGTGGGAGCTATCGACCCCGAACGAAGTGGTGTTCCTAATGAAATTCTCTTTCAAATGAGCCGATGAGCCAAAATTGAATGAGTTTGGATAAAATCGAAAGCCTTTGACACAGTTAATCACAAAATCCTACTGAACTTGAAATTTACGGAATTCGGGGAATTGCAAAAAAACTTATAGGAATAAGCTACTTAAAAAATAGACAACAGACTGTGAAGGTGAACAGCGTGCAAAGTTCCAGTAGGGAAGTTGTCTGCGGCGTGCCCCAAGCAGGGCCGCAACTAGAACCCTCGGCGCCCAAGGCAAGTCCAAATTTTGGCGCCCTTCCACCCTCCACATGTAAACAAAAACAAAACAAACTGCACTGGGTCTCCACGAGCCTTCCTAGCTCGTGCCAAAAAATGCGCACTAAGTGCATACATAATTTCACTGGATTTCAAATGGAAAATAAAAATTGATAATGTGCAGTCAAATGGAATGTAAAAATTGCACTGAGTGCACCTCCGTGCAACAAATGGAAAACGCCATTATTTTATCGCGACCAGTTTTGGAACGAGTTCTACAGACTGTCTAATAGGTAAACGAACTTTAAGTGTCAATCCTGAAGTTCTTGGTTCTTGCTAAAATCCAAAGACCGCTAGATCTGGTTCAGAAATGGTTCCGAACCGATTCTGGTTGATCCGCGAATCCAGAACCGTAACTAAAAGTTCGGAACTTTGTGATCCGCGAACGCCATTTCTTGAACTGCGCATGCGAAATAGTTTCGAACAGTTCAGAATCCTTACCGCGAACGAAGCCATTGTAAAAGTAAAAGCTGTTTACGGAAACTATGATCGGGTTAAAAACACGCTAACCTAGATTTCTACCTCCAAAAATAACAAGACTATAATCTAAGAGTTCAAAGAGCCCGCCAAATATTATTTAAGTTAGTCTTGTAGTGGATAGTGGCGCTAGTATCGATATGACGTCATCGCAATGCCAGTGTCGCACCACAGAATCGATAACTCTCACCTTGGTTTATTATATTTCTCTATGTTAGGAAATGTATAGTACATTGTATCATTAGAACCCCCCTTTCCATTTGAAATTTTGCGGGTAGAGAGTGAACATACCAATAAAATGTGCGATTATTACCAATATTGAGCAATACTGGCATTGCAATGAACAAGTAGACTTATAGCATATCAGCAAAAAACTTGGTGCAACGACCCAAGTTTGAGAAATCAATAATTTCCTGCTGACAATAGAAAATCGACTCGGATCAATGGTTCGATTTTCCTAGTCAGTTGGGTCTTAAAACTGAAGCAGATAACAAAGCTTGAGCCAGGTTATCGGGCGCGAAAAAAGTTAAAGTTATAACGTTACAGAAAGATGGATTTCCAGTGGTAAGTCATTTGTCTTTGTCAATTTGTAAACTCATCATTTTAAATCAATAAAATTATTCATGATACTTTCCCTTATTTTATTATTATTTATTTTATTTTGTGAGTAATAAATAGGCATTGTTATTTTACATTTGGTTTTCATCTTGGACTAGATCCAAAGTCCCCAGTCACGACAAAACAGGTTGTGAAATTGTGGTGGAGGCGCCGTTGTAGTGGTAGTGCTTCCGAACATCGAAGCAGAAGTAGTTGTAGTAGTACTGCCAAACATTGGAGTTGCTGGGGTGTTTCTAAAAACTGAAGTGGTACTGCCAAAAGTTGGAGGGGCAGGAGAACTAGTGGCACTAAAAACTGAAGCCGTGGTAGCTGGAGTGCCAAAAACTGAAGAATTTGTATTGCCAAACGTTGGCGGGGAAGTTGTCGTTGTGGTACCACTGCCGAAAACTGGAGCTGAAGCTACCGGTGCGGTACCAAGAACAGAGGTGGTATTGCCAAATGTTGCCGCACTAAATATAATAGGTAATAATTATAGAGGAAAAAGATTGTTGTCTCTGATGAGCTCTGAGTTTAAGAAAAATATTTCAGTCAATGTTTCTGAGCCTGAAAAACCAGCGACAGTTACAAAAGAGCAAACAGAAGTCCAATCATCCCTAACTTCAATTTTATCATCTCCAAAATCGAGTACACATAAACCTACTGAAAAACATGTACACTTTAATGAAACCACAGCAGCAGCACCATCGATCAATCAGCCCTCTTTGACACAAACCTCAGCTCATATAGTATCAGAATCTGTTAGTAAAGCTTCTATTATCCAGACAACACCTGTTGTTTCAACCACCCCAACAACAGATAAAACTGACACAAGTAAGCCTTCGTTTGGTTTGGGTAAACCTTTGGAAACTAGCCCTCAAAAACTTGGATGCTTCAAATTTGACCTTAACGCACCTGCCAGTACCACATCTCCTGCTACAAAAACTACTTTACCCTCTATAAGTTTTCCTGCTGCCACATCTGCAAATACATTGAATTTTAATAAGCCCTCAGAAAGTTCTGTAATAGTTTTTGGATCAAGTTCCAACACAACAACAGCTGCTTCAACCACTCCGAAAACGGAACCCACCTTTTCTTTTGAAAATTCATTGGCTAAATCTCCAGCGATTAATTTTGGTTCCAATGCTGCACTTAAAAAGACTCCTAGTTTCAACATTACAACCACTCCAAGCACAGTGCCATTTTTTGGTATCGCTAGCACAACTACTACTAGCACTACACCGATGATAAATTTTGGTGCGCCAGCAGCAACAACGACGACACCTTCGATAAATTTTGGTGGAACTTTTGGTGGACAGAGTACCGCATCAAATAAACCCAATACTTCCTCGCCCTCTATGTTTGGCTCCAATACTAGTACTGCCACTGTCACGCCTACATTTCACACAGAAAGCTCTAAGCAAATTAGTAGGGAAGGAGAACAAGGTAACCCCTTATGTGGATACCGGAACACGCTGGCCTTGAGGGCAACGAAATGGCGGATCTCCTTGCCAGAGGGGGAGCCGAAACCAAGTTTACAGGACCGTTTTCATCGAAACTCGACTTCAAACAGTTCAGACTTACCGCGAACGAAACTATTATAGAAGTAAAAGCTGTTTACGGAAACTATGATCGGTTAACCCGATCGCCAGCA